CCCCCCTCCCCCCTCCAAGGCTCACCCCGAGGCCCTGCCCGCAGCCCTCCCCAGCCAAAGCCAGAGCCCGGCCAAGCAGGGCGAGTTTAACGCCGTCGGGGGTTGTCGCTGCCGCCGCAGGTGTCGGCGGGGGCGCTGTCGCTGTACCTGGCCAACATGACGGTGGTGGACTACGAGCAGCGGCGCCGCGCCAAGGCCCTGTACCTCCTGGCGGTGGGCTGCGTCATGCTGGCCATGACCGCCGACGTCGTCAAGATGGGGTTCGGGCTCGACCCTGCCCTGCCGTACAACGCGTCCCTGCGCTACTACGAGCCCCCGGCGCCCGCCTGAGTGAGCGCTGCTCGTGATCCCCAGCCTAACACTTCCTCCTCCCGCCGCCCCAGTGCGCGGCCGCCAGCCTGGGAGGTATGCCGCACAGGGGCGCGCCTGTGAGAGTGGTGGCCTACCCTCGGTCTGACAGGCGCCCGGCTGCCGGCTGCGTACCTATAATGTATTTTGCAGTTTATGCCTCTCGTGGCCGTGATTATTTTAAATGCCACGCTTGATTCTCGTTGATCTGAACCAATCCGTCCTACAGATATTAACAGTATTCTACCTCGATATTTTTGTTTGGTGTAATGTAATCAATTTTTGTACGAATGTATAATTAAAGATAATGATGAGTGTGAGTCCTGGGCTAATTTATAAAAGGGTTGAAGTGAACCCGTTAATTTCTCCTGGTACAGGCCTCTCTCCAAATGGTGTAGGCATATGGGTGAGTAGATTGACAACTCTCTATTTCTTACATCATCGCCCATTTCATGCTTGGCAGCTTCGATGTGGCATCTCTGTGCTTTCTTTTGGAGCTTTTTATCGGCTTACACGGACATGTGCGCTACTTGCATAATACCCACTTCGTATGTATACTGATGCCGCCTCCCTACAGGTGCTCAACGGCATCCTCATGATCGTTCTGAGCGCGTCCTACAACATCAACAAGTCCCATCACCACCTGGGCGCGACCATCATCAACGACATTGTGCTGTCCGTCATCGTCCTCATCACCGCCGTCAACGTCATCATCGGGGTGTTCGACATGCGCACCCCGGACGAAATGCCGGAGCACCTCACGACGGAGGCCACGCTCCACGCCCTCGCCTTCCACGACCTGCAGACGTCCTAGGAGTCGATGACATCCGTCCAGCCAGTTCGGATCGCCCCACCCATATAGCAACGATATTGACATATCAGTCATCATTTCTGCTCAGTTATGTGCTCTCTTTGGGTTAGATTAGAAAAACGGCCGCTTGACTTTAGGAAATTTTATTCAATGGAACAAAACGAGAAGGCAATAACAGGTAACGTTGAACAGCTGGGTTCAAAATAACTTGTGTATAATAACATATAAAATAAGT